GCGTCGCTGCAGGAAGTCACCGCTGCTCGGGTTGTTCGTGGCTGTCGATTTCTGCTGTCGAGATACCGCCACTGGACGCCGCGAAGGGTGATCGCTGATCGCCGGAAAACACGCGAAAAAATGGGAAGGGCGGTTGAAGTAAAATGAAATAGAAATACAAAAATAATATTTATTTTTAATGCGATTCAAAATTTACTTAGTAGGAATTTCTACCACCTAAATTTTAGGTTTTGTTAACTTAAATTCTAACAATCCCTAAAAAAAAATAGTATATTCCATCAAATTAGGTTCAAAGATCTTTAAGGTAATTAATTACTTTTTTTATCTATTTTTTATCTATGTTTTTTAAACCTCACGAAAAACAACTTTTTGATGACCATTTCGTGACAGTTAGAAAAACGTCACAAAAAGTAAAAAATTCGGAACACTCCGTCATTTCCCGCCAAAAACGCGCCTCAACCTTTCGTGACATTTTTTAAACGTCACAAAAAAACAACTTTTCGAAGACCATTTCGTGACGGTTAGAAAAACGTCACAAAAAGTCAAAAATTTGAATCACTTCGTCATTTCCCTCAAAAAACGCACCTCAACCTTTCGTAACGTTTTTTAAACGTCACGAAAAACCAACTTTTTTACCACCATTTTGTGACGGTTAAAAAATGTCACGAAAGATCAAATATCCGGAAATCTCTGTTTTTTCCCTCCAAAAATGCATTTTTTTGCCTTTCGTGACGCATATTTTTATTTAGAATAGTATTTTACTGTTCATGAGCGTCACGAAAATCCAATTTTCTAGTAGTGTCGTATTTTATAACAACACATGATTCAGATTCATCCATCCCAAGATGCTTTCAAACAATATTGAAATTGATATAATTACGTGGATTCTTTAATTGCACTGTTGTAGTGCTTACCAAAACAACTCCAACACCAATGAATAACTTATGGAACGACTAATATGATATTTTTGTAAAAGATACCGGAATGGCCATTCATTCGAGATAGGATGTGAAAAACATACAAAGGGAGACTATAGAAAAGCACTCCAATCGAGAAAAATGATAGAGATATTGTTAGTGATGACTTAAGGTAGTATAGGTGGGTGAGACGCGATCGCCTAAGGCCCCAATCATATAAGGCTTCATATTTTTTTATATATTAGTATATAAAATATAATATAATATTATCTAGATTTTAATTTTTTTGGGAAGGAAATAGGACTAAAGTCCATCAAACTAAGAAATAATGAAAAAACGAAAAAAATGACAAGACGGGACATTGAGACCCCATTATATACACAATCAAATCAACAGAGAAAAAGAGACTATTAATTAGGAGGCTCTTCACAAATATGTAAATTAAGGGAAAAAACACTGTTTGACTAGTAAGTTAATCTTACTCACCAGAATTGGCTTCACTAATAAATTTTTCGGATACTAACATTCCATTCTCAAAAAATGAGGTTCTCAATCTTTAAAACGACGTACAAAAGAACTCTCAATTCTAATTTGATACCTTCAAAATTTGTTACTTTTATCTTCTTCTTCATGTTTAAAACCTTTCAAACTTCATTAAAAAAAAAAAAAAAATAGCTAGCATGACCCTTCAAAACTCTCTCAAAATTTAGATCCTATGTATTCTTTATCCTTTTATTTATTTTTTTGACAATAAAATTTTTCAAATTCTCTTTAGAAAAAAACTCTACCATAAATAGATTTGTTAGGTTATACTAATTTTAACTTAATTTTGTCCCTCCAATGAGAGAAACCAAAACTTCAAAGTTTATTATTTTAAGTTTTTTAGTTCCATTTCTTTTACTTTTTGGAAAATGTATTTCATATTGTTCAATACTATATATCTGAGATTCGTTTAGGTTTGCTTATTTGTTTAAATATATAATATTAATATGTCTATAAAAAATATGAATATGGATATGAAAAGTTTAAGAAAACATAAAATATAAAAACTTATTAAATCCAAAAAATGTGCTACAAAAACAGATTGAATATGAAAAAAATGTTATCAATAATTTCTTTTTTTTTTAAGAAGTAAAAGTAGTAAAAATGATAAAAAATAATAGAAAAAATAATAGGTATAGATAAATCAAAACACAAACAAAAATGGTAGATAATGATATTTTTGAAAATGAAACATCTAATCAACTAAAAGTTCAACTGAAAAAATATTCATATTAAGGCCTCCGTTTTAAAATTTTGTCTAAGGCCATATGTCATCTCGAGATGCCCCTCGATATTGTAATTATCAAAGAGGTTTGATGTTGTGGACAAAGATGAAGCTTGAACCTTTGCATCTTCCCCAAGTTGAGAGCACGAAACCACTATATGATATGAAACCTCTCCAAAGAAAACGACTCTTTTGAGTAATACTTACAATCATCTAATCAGTATCAGAAAGTTAGTATTTTCAAAGGTCACAATCTTTCTAAAAGTACGAAATAAACCTTCCATAAATCTTTTTCGATTACTAACTCAACCTTAAAAAAAGTGTCGAAATATATAGGTCGATCAAAATATAACTTTTTCAATTAACCTTTGAAAGGTTCAATTAAGCTTCAAAATTAATATTTTTTAAAGGCTAGACGTCTTCAATAAATGTCAAATTAGTTTTGATAATTAATTTTTGTCAAAAACTTCTTGAAAGTTTTTATTATTTTCCAAAAATTATAATACTATTGTCCAACCATTTTTTAACTTTCAAAAAAAGTTCTTTGTAGACACTCGTAAATTCTTCCAAAAAATTGGAAGGCACCCACATAATTCTATCTGGACTACAAAATCAGAAATCAGGGGGGAGAGAAAAACCTACTGTAATATTCCACAAAAATATACTGATATTTATTAATAGTAAAAAAGGAATGAAAAACAAGAGATACTTTTTCTCGACTCCATGAAGCCTCTCGAAATTAAAAATTAAAAATAAATTAATAATATTTTAGAATAACATCTCATCGACTAATGGTATAAACATCGACTAATGGTATAAAATTTTATTGGAAGAAAAATTATTATTAGTATAAATGAAAAATAAAAAATAATTAATTAAAAAAATTATGAATCTCATCCATAGATGAGAAAGAACAGAATAAATATTCCATTTATCTTAATGGGAGTGTTTTTATTTAGTTTGTAGGTTTCTCGCCTACTCCCATAAAGTTTTTCCAAAAAAAGAAAAAAAAAAGGTAGATTGCAGTCTATATGACTTCCATTGCCAATTTGACACATTATTTCTAACGTGTACGAAAGGAATTATCAATCATTATATACTCACAGTGAGAATTAATTCGTTCTTTTTTACCTTAGAAACTATTTGAGCAACAATAATGGATAGTAGTCAAACACAGAGGTGTAAGCTGCAACTAAATAGTTCTACAAAACTTGCAGAAACCTTCAAAAGGTCGCATTGCATCATCTAAGACGAGACAGCACTATTTATTGAATTTCCTTCTTGAAAAGCTCTTTCAAAGTAGACACAACATTGATCTTCACTTCAACAATCAAAGTGTCATCACAAATGTAGCCCTTCGTGACTTCATTGAGATCTCTCAAAGACATGAAATCCGGAAAACCCAAACCTAAATCGCCAAACTCGAACCAATACTTACCTGCACACACACAATTAAAAACAGCCAATAACTTTAGTCTTTACATAGAACCAAAACCAAACCAAGATTTCAAATTACAAATAAGCTTTGGAAATTATGGTAAAACCAAAACGTTAATGTTAATTACTTTCTAATTTTTTGTGTCCAACTCCATATTTACTCAGCACAGCTATCTCAAATTCAGCATACACTCGACAACCTTGAGGAAGTTCTTTCAAACTCTCACATCTTAGGAACAGTGACAAATAGTCCGGGCTCGCTTTGGGGGATCCTTTGGGATATAAGGACATCTTCCTGAAATACAAAACATACATTTTATAATACATGTAAATGCAAAATGCAAAATAAATATATATATAATCTAAATTTTCCATAGCAACGGTAGCCCTCCATAGCCCTCCATTGTAAAAGGATCCGATACATACATATTCTCATCTAGTTGTGAAAAGTTGTTGGTTTTCCAAGTATATTTGTTATTTTTGGGCTGCTTGATCAAGGAAAGGGCCTCCCCTTTCCCATCACATTTCATTACAAAAATGTCAACTCCAAATGCACAACAATCATCAACTAAGAACCCATTTGAAGAGTCGTTGAAAGTTTCAAGTGAAACCAACTTTTCAAACCCCCACTCTTTCTTCATTGCATGAAAACGTCTTACTTTCCCATCTGCAATAACACATTATTTATGTTAAAAAAAAAAAACCCTCCAAAGAGAGCAAACAAAAATTAAAATACATGGGTTTTGAGTAATTTGGTTACCTAGGACTGCCAAATAGTTGTCTCGGAGATTATCATAAACAAGAATCGTAAACACAACAGTGAGGTCTAAAGTAGGAATGTCATCCTCAGCAGTTACCAAATAGAGAGATATATGATTGGACCCATTTCTTTTCACATCTCCACTGGGATAGACTGCTAATTTCCTAGCACAACAAAGGAATAACAAAATCCCAAAACCAAAATAGTGATGAGAAGTGAGAAACATTGGTTCAAAAGTGGAGGTGAAAGTGTAAATTAGCTACCATTTAAAACCGGCGACACTGAAGATGGGGGATTCATATCTGTCACGACTGGAAGTAGCAAGTGCAGTCTTGAGCAACGAAAAGGGTTGGATTTGTAACGTATAATGGAGAGGTTTTTCATCTCTAATGGACCTTAAAACTGCACAAAATATATAACCAGAGATAACTCTACAAATGAAATAATCCAATTAATATTTTATATGAACTACAAAGTTGAGAGATTGATTGAGAGAATTATGTTAAAAGTACCAGAACCAGAATCTGCCTGAGATGATGGGGAGATGATATGGTTCCTCTGCATTCTCTTTCCCAATGCTGGCGAGCTAACAGGCGAGCCTAAACTTTATGTCTTATACGGTGCAGTTTAATCCATTGGAATTTTTTTTATTTGATTAGATATGATTTAGGATTTTGATATGATTTAGTTTCCGAATTCAAATATTAGATATTATTTGATTTAGATTTTTTTTTAGAGAAAGGTAAAGTGAAAAAAATAAAATCAAAACAAAACAAATAAATATTTAAAAAGAAGACAAAAACACGCCCAGACCCGCAACTCTACCCGAAACCCGGCCCACAACCCGTGCTCCAAGCACCTCTGGAAACGTGCAGTTCACCATCAAGCCGAACCGACGAACCCGCCGGTGCTTCAGTCAGTTCGGTACAGTTGGAATACCTATTGGGAGTCTGTTTTTTTATTTTATTTAGCATATTTTCGGTTCGGTTTCGGTTTGACCATCAAACTGAGTCGGAACGAGTTATTTACACCCTTATATAAAATTCGAACTTACGAGTTTTTGAACAGATATAAGTATCAATTACCTTGAGGTAAGTTTATGTTAAGTGGTGGTTTATGTACTTTTAAGCATCTTTTAGCCCTCAGGTTAGATTTTTCTAAATAATAATGGTAAGATTCAGAATGGTTATATATATGTAGAAATTTCATACGTTTTATGAAAAATATAATAAATTCATAAAATTGCTCCATGAAACTTTAAGATGTTCAAGTATATTTAGGTTGAAAGGCGAAATAATAGTTCAAAGTATATTATATTTAAGATGTTTCAAGTATATTTAGGGTCAAAATATGCATTAGCCTTCCTAGCAATATCAATGTCTTTGTTTGGGAATGCGTAAATACACTCTCTCAAAAGAGTAGAAATGTACTTTGGTGTAATGGGTTCTGCTCTATTCTTTGATTTATCTTGCTTGAGAGAAATAACCGTCTTTTCTCATATAATTAAATATAGATCTGCATGCACTATGTGGGATAATATTAAGATGGCTGCTTCCTCTTGTCCACCAAATCGACATTCTTTTGTAATTATGATATCTACACCATTTCTTTAAACTGGAACTCTTTTATTTAGCCTCTCCTTAAATTGATTTTTTAAGGCATGGATGTATGACGATTTTGAAAAATCAATTATACTAAAATGATTTTTTTTTTCAAAATTATAAATTCTACTGTCAATCCCAAAATACCCCTTTTATATTTTCAGGTGCTTCTTCAATAATTTCATTATCCCCTTACATATTTCACTTCATATTTTAGAACAAACAACTTCTACAGCTTCCAAAATAACACATGATTCAGATTCATTATCTCTTTGACAAGCTGAATTTGCATTACCTCTTTAATATTTTGCACCGTAAAGGTTTTGATCTTTAAGTGGATTTCATGGATTAAAGGTTGTATATCATCCTTCAGCTACTCGGTCATTACCCTCTCTTCCCTTCAAAAAGTAATTTTAATTTGGTAGCTCAGGAGCTCCCTGGTTTCATATTGCAAACTGTTGCAATATTTTTGATACAGCTACAAAAAATGGCAAGTTGGCAATGGCATTAATATTCTCTCTTGGTATCATGATTGGTCTGACCATGGACCTTTGTTTATAGCATTTCCCCGTTTCTTTGCACTCACCGATTGTAAGGACTTGAAAGTTGGTCAAACAACGCCTGGAATCCTTTCCGTCGCCGGCCATTGTTTGAAAGAGAGCAATTACTATGGAACACAATCACGGCTGAATTTCCTCATCTATCTGAATCTTGGGGAAGGGATAAATTTTTGTGGGCTCACTCAACCGACGGGCAGTACACTTTAAAATCCTCCAAGGCTTTTTTGTTGGGAAATTGAAGACTCTGAATAATTTTCCTTTTCACAGAAATATCCAAATACAACTACAATATATGAAAATAGAAAGAAAACTATAAAGACACAAAAATAACGACACAGCAAATTATATTGGTTTAAGGGCTACATCCAGTCTTCCACTTAGATTAGGTAATTCACTAATAATTGTTTAAGGATTAGAATACAAAACTCTCCCAAAAAATATTCCCTAAGGTCCCAACAAAAGTCCTCTAGTTTCTAAGTATTATAACACACTATACTTAGGTACAGGAATGAAAAACACTCACTAAACTCATGGGATACAGAATCCTTTTCAACACTGCCCACAACCACTCAAGTCTCTTTTATTTGGATTCTGTACAAATGAAACCTTAACATAAGAGCTTTATTTATAAGAGGCCAAATATCATAATTCTTATAGGAAAACAATATTGTAATCCTTATAAGACAACAATACCCTACTCCCGCTAGGAATTGATAATAGTGTTGAAAAATTCTTTTTTTTCATAGGACATGTGTTTCCTGTTTTGGCTCCATAATCCCAACAATCTCCCACTTGGAGACAAAGCGACAATTCTCTGCCTCCCACTGCATTAACAGTGTTCCATCATCTTGACACCCTCTTCAAGGCACAGTTCTAACCCCTCCATCAACAAACTGATCAATACTGCTTGGCCCTACCCAAGCATCGTCTGACTCTGCCCCGAGACTAAGTAACTCTACGTGGTCTTGTCCCCCAGACTTAGAGACATAGCCACATACTCCCACTTGATCTAAGTGGTCCCCGTCACTTCCTTTCTCGATCGAACCCAACGACCTCTGAAGAAAGATTCCCCTGATGACTTGGCGCTCCCACCCAAGTCTGTTGCCACACTAGAAACAGAAATCGTACCCTTCAATGCACTAATTCGCCTATGCGACTTCATCAGCTCGCCTGAACGTTTGACGGCTGAGGTATGAACTCGATGGCCTATCAAATTCCCGTTTCCCTTTTCTGTACTTCTCAACTGTTTAACTTGAGCTGATGGTAGATTCTTCTTATCTGTTCTGGCCATCATTGCTTCTGTTTCTCTAAGGTCTCGCCCTGAACCATCTGCAACTACTCTGTACATAGTCTGTCTCAGTGAACCCTTGGCAACCCCAAACTCTGACACATAAACAGAAGATATCTTGTGGTCTGTTGCCACCACCCTGGATTCCCTATTGAGCTTCTAGAAACCCCCACTAAACTCACTACTATAGCCATCGTCATCTAGCTTCCCTGCAGATAACAAATTAAATCTGAAGCTAGGAATATACCTGACGCCTTGTAGCACCAACTCGGCCCCTTCGCCTGTCTTCAAACAAACATCTTCAATTCCTCCTACCTTAGAGATACTCTCATTCCCCATCCTCATTGAGCCATAATTACCTGCAATAAGAGATGAGAACCAACGTCTGTCTGAAACAACGTGCGCTGATGCTGCAGTGTCTTCAACCCACTGGTCTATAGATATGTTCCTCTGAACACAAGCCAGAAACTCTTCAATCCGTTCTCCTTCTGTTACAACATTTGCAGTAGTGTTCCCCTTCTCAACATCTTCTTTAAACTTCCTGTAAAAGCGTTTAATGTGTCCCTTCTTGTGGCAGTAATAACATTCTACTTCTCCACTGGAACTCCCACTACCCCTGCTATATTGATAGCACACTTTGTGAGCTATATTTCATGAGATTTATATTGAAATTATTTGTTAGTTTTCGTTTCTTCATGACAAATTTAAGCACATAAGATATATTTTGCAAGAATAAAGCATCGGGAGGAAACGAGACATATTTGGATCAAAATGAGAGAAAAATCGGAATCAAAGTGACCAAGATGGAATAACAACAAGATTTGGAGCTAAAAACCCGAGGAGATAGCGCCACGACTCTAGCATAGAGTGCCGCGGCGCTCCGAAGTTTAAATTTCGCGTTTGTGAATAGTGTAGCGCCATGGCTCTGTATATAGCGCCACGGCGCTGCCGCGACAACTTTTTATAAAAATAGGGTTGTGCAGCCACCRCAAGGGGGAGTTTGGGAGAGTTTTTATGGCAGTTTGCCTTTTTGGCCAAATCGGAGGGCAAGGAGACCATTGGAGAGCTTAGAAAAGTGATTTTCAAGGCTCGGGATCGTGGAGGTCGCTTCGGGGACGGACGATTGACACGCCGAACATAGTTTCTTCTCCTTTCCCTTGATTTTTATGGTTTTGTTATGGACTTCTCATTGTGATTTTATTGTTTTCCATTGAATATGAGAAGCTAAACCTCTCATCTTGGGAATTGATGTAGCCATTATGCATTGATTGTTTAGTTTTCTTGGTTGAATGTTTATGAATGTTTTATTTATACTTCTCTATGCTTAATGCCTTGAATCTACTGGCCATAGATTGATTGATTTTAGACTTGAAATCTTACGCTCGGGAGAGGTGGTCTAGAGTTAGAATTGTGATGCATAACGAAAGGGGTTTTAAGATCGGGAGATTTAGAAGTCCTTTAGAGGTCGATAATAGACTTGTTGAATAAAGCGTTTACTTGTTATAGAAACTAGATAGGGATATTGGTTTCTTAATTCGTAAGAAGAATTAGCTTGCGCTCGGTGAAATCAATTCCCTAGGACATTTCCCCATTGTTTTTATGTTTATTATTGCATTTTTATTTTCTTTGATTATATTCTCCCTTTTGATTTTGATTCTCTAAATAAAATTGAGCAATTGTATCTGTGGTACTTGAGTGATCTAGAAACCCAATCCAGAGGACGATATCGGTATTGACTTACCACTTTATTAAAGCTTGACCCGTACACTTGCGGTAAGCAATTTCTGCTACATATATCTCTATTGCTGCTTCCCATTGTAACTCATCTTTGTCTTCCCTTTGTTCTGAGCTATCAAAGCTGATTCAACCTTGTTTTCTGCCCCTGAAGTAGATGCAGACATTTTCCCTAATTTTCTTCGAGCTTCCTCAGATATGGCGGCATCACAAATAGTCTCCTAGCGAATTCGACACCGCAGTCTTCATCGTCTCCCAACTGTTAGGAAAAGACGTCAACAGCCTCATGCCTTTCACCTCCTCGTCAATCTTGACACTCATTCCTTCTAACTTGTTCAAGATATCGGTGAGTTCATTAATGTGGGAATTCACCGAGGTTCTCTCCTTCATGTGGATATTAAAATACCTCGTCCATAGAAGTATTTTTGTATTGGCATAAGGTTTTTCATACCTGTCTTGCAAGACCTTCAACAACTCCTTCGCTGTAGTCTTTTTCGCCACCAGACTACAAAAATTCATTGACAATGCCATTCTGATGTTGGCAACGACCTGCTCATTCATCTCATTCCAATCCTTGTCTACCATCCCTGCTGGTCTCTCTCCCAAAGTCTTGTGTATCTTCTTGCACATAAGAAAGATCCTTTACCTGCATCTTCCAAAAACTGAAATTCTCCTCATTGAACTTCAGGACTCCTTCATAATAATGGTCTGCTTGATATCTGTCACCCATGATGCTGCAACCTTACAGCTCTGATACCACTTGTTGGGAAATTGAAGACCCTGAATAATTTCCCCTTCCACAGAAATATCCAAACACAACCAAAATATATGAAAATAGGAAGAAACTATAAAGGCACAAAAATAACGACACAGCAAATTATACTGGTTTAAGGGCTACATCCAGTCTTCCACTTAGATTTGGGTAATTCACTAATAATTGTTTAAGGATTAGAATACAAAACTCTCCCCAAAAATATCCTCTGGAGGTCCCAACAAGAGCCATCTAGCTTCTAAGTATTATAACACACTATATTTAGGTACAGGAATGAAAAACACTCACTAAACCCACGGGATACAGAATCCTTTTCAACACTGCCCACAACTACTCAAGTCTCTTTTATTTGGATTCTGTACAAATGAAACCTTAACATAAGGACTCTATTTATAAGAGGCCAAATATCTTAATTCTTATAGGAAAACAATATTGTAATCCTTAAAAAACAACAATATCCTACTCTTGGTAGGAATCGGTAATAGTGTTGAAAAATCATTTTCTTCATAATACATGTGTTTCAAGTTTTGGCTCCATAATCCCAACATTTTCTGGCGTCCCCTTCTGCAGAAATTAACTCAGTTTTATACAAGAATTTATGGGACTCTATCTATCCAAAGAAGTGTAAATTCTTCATAGGGTGTGTTACTCGTAGAAGAATCAATGCACTTTATTGGATCCAATCACCCATGAAATTCCTCTACCTCAACCCAAAGTGGTGTGTCCTATGTAGAAAGAAGAATGAAACTTTAGATCATCTGCTCCTACATTGTGAATTCTAAAAAATTTTATGGAATTTTCTCTTTGAAACCTCAGACTGCCTCTATGTCTCCCAGTAATGGTGGACTTCATTGCGAAAATGCTTTCCAATTGCCCCAAATCTAGGTGCTCGATCCTTTGGTACCTTTGGTTGGAATGCAATAATCGAATTTTTGACAACAATGAGAACTCCATTATCCATCTTTTGGGAGGACATTAAAGTTGCAGCTTCTCTTT